TTGCCCAGCTCCGACGCAACTTCGATGAAAACTACAAATGATGCAATAAGAACCCGCCGCCCTTCTCGCCCACGAAGCACGAAACCATCAAGATCGCGAGCGACGGGGTCTACCGCGTCAAGCGCCTCAGGTCAGCTTGGGGCGTGGACGGCATCAGGAAGCTCTACGGCCACGCTTGCAACGAGAAGGCCTTCGCCCCTGGTGCCAGCGGGGCCACGCGCAGGAGGGCAGCTTCGGCCATGCCCGCGGCTGGGGCGGTCGCTTCGGCCCTTGCCTTCGCGAGCAGGCTGGAGGCCGAGAGCGCCAGGGTCGGCCCAGAGGCTGAGGATGGTGGTGGAGCAGGAGCCGCCGTGGCTGGCGCTGCCTCGGAGTCTGGCTCCCAGGACGTCACGAGCGAGCACGACCTGCAGACCATCAGCGGGTACCGCGTGTGCAAGAGGTGCCATTGCTACGCGCGGGGGATTAAGGGCAAGTGCAAGGTGCTTGGAGGTGGGTGCCAGCCCGCTTCGGGCGAGGCGCCCAGGGCCAGGCTGAAGAAGATCGGGCTGATCAAGGCCGGTCTCGACCCGAAGACGGGCAGACTGCAGAGGCGCCCCACTTCTCCTTGACAGGTGTCCTCTTGCGGTGCTGCAAGCCCTCGGCGCCATTTTGGCGACGGCGCGTGTGGCAACGCCTTTGCGCGGCCCAACGGCAGTCTACGATGGGCGCCCTGCGGCAGGGAGAGCGCGAACGGCGCTCGCTGCGTGCGCGGCGCGAATGATGAAAAAGGCCCAATGCCTGCGTCCGCATGCTGGCGCGGGTCGTTTTTGGCACACACCATCACTCGTTTTGTGGCCCCATGGGGAGCTCCACCGAAGACCCCAATGGCTGCGTCCGCATGGTGACTCAAGTTCCTTCTGGCACGCCTCTCACACGTTCCGTGGCGCCATAGGAAGCTCCACCGCAGGCCCCAATGGTTGCGTCCGGATGGTGACTCGGGCCCCTTTTTGGCAAACCGTTCAAACGCTTCGTGGCCCCATCAAGGGGCCCCACTGGAGGCCCCAATGGCTGCGTCCGCATGGTGGCCGGGGGCCCTTCTGGCACACCTCTCACACGCTTCGTGGCCCTATAGGGAGTTCCACCGAAAGCCCCAGCGGCTGCGTCCGCGTGGTGGGTCGGGCCCCTTCTGGCACACTCTTCACCCGTTTCGTGGCCTTATAGGGACCCCACCGAAGGCGCCAGTGGCGGCGTCCGCATGGTGACTCGGGTCCCAATTTGGCGCACCCCTCGCAAGCATGGCGCTTGATTGCCGACGCAGTTTGCCCCTGAGGTGAAGTTGCCCATCGGGCCCTCTGATCACCCAGTGTTTACAGCCACGAGTAAGACGCATGATCATCGACGCGATGTGGCTCGGATTTCGCGGTCCTTATGATAGTCTCCACGCGTGTAGAGTGGGTTGGGTTCTTCGCCGGGGTAATTTGTCTCTATCCGCGGACGCGTGTCATAGCCGACCTGCAAATCCAACCCAGCGACCACATCGTGTTATGCGCAATCGGGCAAGGGGGGCCTGCGTGCACAGGAGGTAGAGGAGGTGGCGGGTGAGCAGGAACATGAGCGGAAGGAAAAGAACGAGGACGAACAGCAGCAGCAATAACTGGAGTGGATGTAGTGGGAGGAAGAAGAGAATCAGGGGGAGGCGGAGGAGGGGAAATGAGTGGGCGGCAACAATGAAGACAGACTCGGATCCAGAAATGTGGCCCGCGCTGGGGCGAGAACGTCATTCTGAACGACGGGAGCCAGGCTCCGATCCGAAACTGGGGCCCACGTTGTAGTGGGAACATCGTTTTGCAATACCAGATCGGATTGCAGAAAGCCATGGGACAAATCAACAGCCAGACGGAGAGGGGGGGCGGGGAGGGCCTCCGCACACCCTGGCGACGGGGAGCAAGGGGGGGAGCCTTCGTACACCCCACGGCGATGTACCACCCCCTGGATTTAAAAGTGGTGATCGGCAGTATGCGAAGCAACAACCCCTGGGTCTTCGCCGATAGAACCTCAAGCTGAGACCTTCGATCGATCCCAAGATGACTCCCAGACAGACTCGTGACCCGAACGGAGGAACGGCAACGCAGGTGTGGACGAGACGCGCGGTTGTTAGGACAGCCCAAACGAAGTCGCCACTCTCTGGCGGCGTGAAAAGCGGCCGGAAAATACACTGTGAGGAATTATCAGGCGATGTCGCAACTCTCAGACGGCATGAAGATCGATCTGATTTTTGTCAGGAATTCCCACGCGAAATCGCCACTTTCAGATGCCATGGCAAATTTTCAGATCGCCCTGGAAGGCGATCTGAAAGTTTTTGTTGAGGAAGTCTCGGGCGGAATCGCACTTTCAGACGCTGACCCCACTTGGCCGATATAATTTCAAAAGGGGTGAGAGAGGCACCTGAAATTCCCAAATCGGCCCTGGCTCTCCAACATTGTCCTGGGGCCCCGTGGCCTAGTGGGAGGCCAACCGTGTCTTCCTCGATCCCCATGGTCTCCACTTTTATTCCAGCCAGCTGTATGTACACAACCGGCGCATCCCACAGCGTGTGGCTCTGCATAGGTAATCCATTGAATGCCCCAATAATGTGTTCAATGATCATGGAGCACCGGCCTCACGCAATTAACAACGACATAACTATTGCAAGCAACATGTTATCAGATCATCAATCCCACGGCTTCTTCACGGTGCTTGGATCAACGCTACTTCCATTCGGAGGGACTGACGCCAGGACAGAGCTTTCGAGTGTACCGCAGGCTTCGCATACATCCATATACACATGTACAGATATGTCCATATTTGTTTCGTCGATGCCGCGACAAGGGAACCAATCTGATCCACGTGAATTGCAGTTTCGAACACTATTCACAAACATCCTGTGGTGTTGGGTCCTCGTTTTCAGAAGACAGCGCCCCGCGTCTCCCTCCTGCTGCCCCCTCTCCTCCTCCCATCCATGCCTCTGCCCTCCGCGTGTCAGCCACTTCGGCACACCCCTCACACGGTTCGTGACCCCGTAGGGAGCTCCACCCAAGACCCCACGGGGGTGTACCACATGCGGCCGCCCCACCAATGTCGTCAAAACCCCTCACTCGTGTCGTGGACCCAGAGGGAGCTCCACCCAAGGCCCTATGGGGGGTGTGCCACATGCGGCGCCCCACCCATTTCGGCACACCGCACACACGGTTCGTAGGTTCCATAGGGACCTCCACCGAAGGTCCCAGAGGGGGTGTACCACATGCGGCCGCCCCAACCATGTCGGAACACCCCTCACTCTTGTCGTGGCCCCATAGGGATCTCCACCCAAGGCCCCGGGGGTGTGTACCACATGCGGCCGCCCCACCGACTTCGGCACACCCCTCACACGTGTCGCAGGCCCATCGGGAGCTCCACTTGAGCCCCCAAGCGGGTGTACCATGTGCGGCCGCCCCACCCATCTCGACACACAACTCACCCGTGTCGTGGGCCCAGAGGGAGCTCCACCCCAAGCCCCATGGGCGGTGTGCCACATGCGGCCGCCCCACACTTTTCGGCACACCGCACACACGGTTTGTAGGCCCCATAGGGACCTCCACCCCAGGTCCCAGAGGGGGTGTACCACATGCGGCCGCCCCACCAATTTCGGCAAAACCCCTCACTCGTGTCGTGGCCCCAGAGGGATCTCCACTCAAGGCCCCAGGGGTGTGTACCACATGCGGCCGCCCCACCGATTTCGGCACACCCCTTACTCGTGTCGTAGGCCAATCGGGAGCTCCACTTAAGCCCCCAAGGGGGTGTACCGCATGTGGCCGCCTCGCCCATTTCGGCACACAACTCATCCGTGTCGTGTCCCCACCAGGATCTCCACACAGGGCTCCAGAGGGGGTGTACTACATTCGGCCGCCCCACCAATTTCGGCACACAACTCACATGGTGCGTGGCCCCATCAAGAGCTCCACAGCCTTGGCCCCGCTACGCCAGGCTAAGACATGCCACATCCTGACAAGCTCTGATAAGTAGTGCTAAGCCCTACTTTGACCTGCTCGCCCTTGACAGGGCTAGCAAGACCATGCTCGCCCCTCCTAAGCACAGGTAAGCCCTGCTGAACCCTTCTAAGCCCTGCGAGGCCCTGACAGGCATGCCATGTCAGGCATGCGCGTCCCACGATTGCGCGTCCTAGGTATGCATTCCATGCCAGCCAGAGAGGAGACAGGGCAAGAAAGAGAGAGAGAGAGAGAACAACAAACAAAACATATACTGACCATAGTGAAGAGAAGGGTGAAAACTGGTAAAACTCCCATTCAACCTCGAGGGACTCCACAATCCCCTGGCCTCGGGATCTCCGGGTTGCGTCGCCTGTCGCTGAGGACATAGCTGGGTGTCAGTCAGCCCCCCCTTCAATTGGGGGCCGTTTTTCAGCTCTCGGCCAGGCCGCCAGGCGCCCCTGATCTCGAGGAGCAATTATCCTGCGCGCGATAGGTGTGTTGAAATGGTGGACATGTGGAAGGCAGAGGCAGGGATGAGAAGGAGGAGGAGGAAGAGAAGAAGGAGAGAGACGCGGAGCGTTGTCTCTTCAAAACGAAGACCTAACACCACAAGATGGTTGGGACAAACATCTGGACGAACTTGTTCATAATATTTGTCCCCTCGGGACCGTTACTGGGTCTCGGCACCTTCAAAAAACGACTCGGGATGAACAACTGGTCCCTGGGAAGTGGTCGAGCGGTCGGGGGCCCGAAATTGTGCGACAACGCCCGGCTCGAAACAGCTGCGATGCCCGGATCTCATGGCTCGAGCTGGGGTCGGCTACACATGAGATGTTTCAAAGCTGGAATGTTCTCGTTGAGCCCGTGAGCAGTTAATGGAATGTTCGTGGATATGCGAAAATTCGACGTCTTGCTCTGTAGATTCGGCGAACATTCATCAACTTTGGTGTATATCAATTCTGTAGCCGATCTCCTACTCGATGGGCGGCCCGGCGAGGGCGGCGGGCGGGCCACCTCCCGCGCCGCCGCCGCGTGCGCCGCCGCGGGCGCTTCCGCGGCCACTGGCGCGGGCGGCCGCGCGGACGGTCGCCTCGGCGCCACGGGCGCGGTGAAGGCCTGCTCGAGCTGGCGCCTGGAGCCGGCGGGGCGGGCCGACCCATACCTCCGGCGGCTAGAAGGAAAAGAAACGAAGGTGTTTCATCATCTTCGAATCGGATATCGTTTACAGCATTGATTGAACTGCCCCATAATATTTTTTTTGTCAATTCTGATGCGATATCATAAACGAGTTCTGAATGGCGGAGACGCATGTGGACTGTGCCACAGGGGCCTTCGGTAGAACTCCATATGGGGCCACGAAACGCTGTACTGGGTGGGGGAGACGCACGTGGACGGTGCCACTGGCGTTTTCGGTGGGGCTCTCTATGAGGCCACGAAGGCTTACATTGGGCGGGGGGGGCGCATGCGAACTTTGCAAATGGGGCCTTCGGTGGAGCTCCCTATGGGCCATGAAGCTCTGTTCTGTGTGTGGGAAGCGCATGCGATCTTTGCCACTAGGGCATTCGGTGGAGTTCCCTATGGAGCCAACGAAACGCTGTACTGCGTGGGGAAGACGCATGCGGACGGTGCCTGGGGCCATGAAGCGCTGTAATGGGTCGGGGAAACGCATGCCGAAAGTGCCACTGCGGCCTTCCGTGGAACCCCCTATGGGGCCACGAACCGCTGCACTGGGTGGGGCGGACGCATGGGGGCGGTGCTACTGGGGCCGTCGGTGGAGGAGCTCCTTATGGGGCCGCGAAGCGTTGTCCTGGGTGGGGAAGACGAGTGTGGACGGTAGCACTGGGACCTTCGGTGGAGCTCCCGATGGAACACACGGAGGACGGCGGCTCCTTCTTCAAAATGTGGTTCTCGCCTTAGCGCCGCGCGCGTTCGTCTGGACAGTTTGCAACGCCTTCGAAGATGGATGGCGGTTCCATTTCAAACTGTGGCTCTCGCCTCAGCGTAGCACACATTCGTCCTGACAACTTCTGATAACGGCAGAGATTGGTATGGCGGATGTTCCAGGAATGGCATCAGGGCAAGAATTAAGATTGTCACGACGAAACAGTCACGTTGATTCGCGATGCTGAAATCTCAGGAATGTTGTTCTGGCACGGTTCAAGGGCCGCAGGACGCAACAATCCTGGGATTCGCGGCGCTGGAGTCCCAGGGATGATGGTTTGGTCTGATTGTGATTGCCAGACATGCGCCCTCCAATGTGGCACTTCCAACATGAAAATCATGCTTGTCTATATATCGCCATATTAGGGAGATGTCTCTTGATGATAATAGGTTAGCATGCTTGCTGATCTTCTTCTTCTTCTTCTTCTTCTTCTTCTTCTTCGCGCAGCTCGCGAGATGCTAACCTCCCGCGACGAACTGGTGAATGCGTGGCTCGATGAGCCAGTTGAGCGGACTTGCACGAAGCAGTGTAACGATATGCTTGCGCGCATGGCGCGGGCCGGCGGGCCGGCCCGGCGGGCGGGCCGCGTGCGAGCGCGCGTCCTGCCCAGAGTAACCAACCAGCTTCGGAGAGGGTGTCTCTCCCTCAGATCCAAGCCCTACCAGCGCTCTGTAAAGGAAGAGTGGAGGGCAGCTGAAAGGGGCGAGGGGGGCGTTAGGAATGACTCTCCTCGCGGCCTCCCGGCGCGACGCCGTCGCGCCAGGGCGGGCGTCAGCGCGTCGGCTAACGCCCCGGGCAAAGGAGGCGGGGCGCGCCGAACATCGTTAGGCAAATCCCGAGAGCGTCGGACAGCCTTCATTCACCCCTTCCCCCAGGGCCACTTCGGGCCCTCGGGCCCCCCGCCGCGCCGACTCCAAAAGCTTTTACGGCGCAGGCGGCGGGGAAGGGGGCACTCCTGTCACCGCTCTGTAAGACAAATCGAGGGCACCCCGGGGCGCCCCGCCCTGCAGCGCAGAATGAAATGCGCGCCCCGCCCAGCCATCAAATCATAAGGCAACCAGCCCGTCGACAGCCTCGGCGCGCCGGCGGTTCGTGGCCCTGCCCTGCGGTGCACATGTCAGACTGAGACATCGTCTCAGCCTCTTACCCATGCCCACCTCCAGAGCGGTAGTTCTTCCACCGCTGACCACTGCAACGGTCGTCGCGACCGGCGCCCCAACCCTGGTCGCCGCGCGGGGCCTGCCAGCCAGCCCAACTCGAAAAAGATGACCAGGATGTTCAGCGGTCAGTAGGGTCAGCACGCCAAGGGGCTTGCGAAGATGCCGCTTCGCCCTGCCACCACTGGTCATAATCGCGATGCCAGGGCGCAGAGGACTCTGCCGCGGCCAGCTCGGCTGACAGCGGGATCGGCGCGGGCGGCGCAGGCGTCAGCCTCGGGATGGCATTGCCAGCCCAATCCCTTCCTGGCGGCATGATCCGCGCAGGCCTCGGCCCCGCCCGCCGCCATGGAGGCGCCTCCGGCGAGGCGCGGAAATATCTTTCAGGAGATCTGCTTATCGTGGCGGGGCCACGTTGCCGAAACGCTCGCAGGGGCACGCTCTGCTCAAGCCCCCACTCCGCAGATTCCCACGCGCGGGGGCGCGCGGTCGAAGGTTGACCGGGGGGGGTCATGGCTGCCGCTGCGCTTCTGAGCGCGCGGTAATTCACTGCCATGCTCGATGGTCCTTGCCTTCGCGCGTCGATCCCTCTGCCTGGACGGCGGCGTCCGCTCATGGCGCTTGTCTCCATGGGCGGAGAAGGCAGCGTCGGCGCCTGGGCGTCGGGGCGATCTAATCCAACCCCTTCACCGTCACCATCCTGGCCAACCGGCTCCAGCGGTTCCCATGTGCCCTTGAAGTGGGCCCACGCGCGGTCTTTCAGGTCCACGAGGGTAGGGGGATGATGGCTCTGACCCTCTCCTAAGCGCCCCAACCGTTTGATGGTGCAAGTGCATCTCTGTCGGGCATTTGGAGGTTGTCCCACATGAAAGGCTCTGAGCATCCCAAATGCTGCCCACTGGGCCGCGCATGATAGCTCGGAAACGGCCACCAAACTTCGACAGGGACGACGGGCAAAGGTCCAGCGGCCGGAGTTCCCATGCGCCGTTGAAAGTTGACCCAACGAAGACCAAGCTCACGAGCCTTGTTCTGGAGCAGTGAATGGATTTGAGCCCGCGCGGTATCCTCTGCCGATTGAGGCCGCCACGCAAGCGCGGTCATGAATTTGAGCGTGAAAGCAGTCTTGCCTTGGAGAGCCATCCTGCATCGATATTTCGCCATATTTGGTTCTCTCAATTTGCGTTGGGTCTTGGATATGTTATTGTCCGTATTTCGGCCTTGCATATATTCACTTCTATATTTTTTTAAAACCCGGGCGGAGCGCAAAAGGGCCCCCAAACAAAACAAATATCCTGGCAAAGCAACCTAACAGCGATGTGTAGAAACATATCTGGGAGCATTCCTTTTGTGATTCATGTAGGAGTCCTGTTATCGAATTATGATGCCTTCGCAGTCGCAGTCGCTTTCGCAATGGCAATCGCAATGACAACGGCGGTCGCAGGTACAGTCGCAGTGGCAATCCCAGTAGTTGCAGTAGCAATAGCTACAGTAGCAGCAGCAACAGCAGCAGCAGCAGCAATAGCAGGAGCAGCAGCAATAGCAGGAGCAGCAGTAATAGCAGGAACAGCAGCAGTTCCATACTACAGATAAGTACATACAGATGTATAACAATACTACATATAAGTACATACATATGTATACATATTAAAACGTCCTGGATCCCCGCAATTGAGGCTCCAGAGGCCAGACGCCATGAAGGCAACTCTTGAAACGTCCTGGATCCCCGCAACTGGGCCTCCAGAGGCAGGAACCGCTGAGAGAAACCTTGCGTATCCTTCCTCGAACTCCTCCTTCCTCCTCCTCCTCCTCCTCCTCCTCCTCCTCGTCCTCCTCCTCCTCCTCCTCCTCCTCCTCCTCTTCCTCCCTCTGAGCACACCGTGGCGCTCGACAGGAGGCATCTCTTCTCCTCACTGCTCATGGGCTTTCGGATGCATCAGCCTGCCTCAGCGTCTGCCTCAGTCTGCCTCAGCCTCAGCCGCAGCCTCAGCCTCAGCCTCACTTGAGTTCCCCCATATCAGGCGTGGACCCGCGGCACTTCCCCCATATCAGGCGCGCACCCACGGCCCCCCCGACTGAGTTCCCCCATATCAGGCAAGCACCCGCGGCACCCGTCAGCTGAGTTCCCCCATATCAGGCGTGGACCCGCGGCACCCCCGACTGAGTTCCCCCATATCAGGCGGGCACCCACGGCACCCCCGACTGAGTTCCCCCGTATCAAGCGCGGATCCCCGGTTTTCCCCGGCATCCCCCGGATCCTGCCCAGACCCCCCTGGGGAATCAAGATGCTCCCTTTTGACCCCACTAGAAACCTATCAGTCTTCGCTGTTAGGTAAAAAACCGGACTCCCGGGATCCAAGGCTTTTGGTCCCTCTGGACAGGCCTCGAAGCGGCCCCCCGGGCCTCGCAGAGCGTTTTGCCAAGCCTTCCCAGCACACCTAAGGCGATATGGGGGTCATCGGAGACGTCCCAGAGACCCCCAAGACAGCACAAGAGCGCCCCAAGAGTGACCGACGCGACCTCCAGATGGCCCAAGAGGTCTCCAGGACGGCGCAAGAGGGCTCCAAGAGGCAAAGATCATTGATTTTCTTTGGGTTTGTGGTGAATTTGGGAGTTCTCCTCTTTTCGGCTTCCCGACGCTCCAAGACGGCGGTCTTCCGGGCGTCCGAGCCGCCTGGGAGGCTCCAAAATCGCCCCGCAACCATCCGAAAAAAGCTTCCGGGCAGCCCAAGAGAGCCCCAAAACGGCACAACACGGCCCGCAGAGAGCCCCATGGCGGCCCAAGATTGCCCCAAGACACCCTGCGAAGCACTCCGGATCGTGACCCGGTCGTTCAGGGAAACCGCGGTTGGAGGCAAGGCGGCCCCAGGAAGCCCCCAGAGGCCCCCAGAATACGCCGGGGAGGCCTCCGGAAGGCCTTAAGAAAGCCCGAAACAACTTTTGCGAGGCCCCCAGAGGCTCTCCAAGGAGGAGCCCCCGCAAAACAGAGCTGCGGGGGACAGGGAGAATGCGCGGGGCATGGCGAAAATGAAGAAAAAGAAACATGGATGAAGAACAACGAATAACATTACTATAGCGGCGATGCCGGAAAAGGCAGCAAGGAATTATCGCTGAATTGTCGGCTTGAGCTTCCTGCTTTTCCGCCTGCGCACCAAACTTCAAGGGCCAAGGTGCATGGCGCGAAGCGCCAATGCATGTCTTGCGCGTGTGTATATATAACTATATACGTATGCCTCATCACTTTGTGCCCCCCACAGCCAGGGGACGGCTTTACCGCTCCAAACGCGCCAGGCACACTGTACACTCGGACGCACGGCCAAAATATAGGCGTGCAGCAGTGCCAGGTGCCGAGGGCCTCGAGGTCTCCCAAGGGTGGGCGGGTGGGTCCCTGAGCCGGGACGGCTATAGTACGGAAAAGAAGTGCAAGCAATTCGATCGCGGCTGCTTTGTCTTCAAGCGATTCTGCATTTACACGCAAGCTTCGACCATGCCTCATCACTTTGTGCCCCCGCAGCCAGGGGGCGGCTTTACCGCTCCAAACGCGCCCGGCACACTGTACACTCGGACGCACGGCCAAAATATAGGCGTGTAACAGTGCCAGGTGCCGAGGGCCTCGAGGTCTCCCCAAGCCCGCCGAAGGCGCTCCCAGCGGTGCCGAAGGTCATCTCAGTGGCGGGCGGGTGGGTCTTTACACGGCTGAGCTGCATCTACTCTCGAAGAAAGGGCTCAACACATTCACAAACTTTTGTCCTCTTGCTATTGAATAAAAGCCTTGGCAAGGACGCGGCAAAGAAACACTGGGTATTTGTCAGCTAACTTAGTGCGCCATCCTCCTCCTGGCAGCGGTCCGTGCAACGATATGTGCGGCTGGCCTGTCACACAGCAGACTGGCCCGGCGCACCGCCTGTCCAGGGCGGCGAGGTCGATGTGGTCGCCGAGGAAACGGGTGGGCTTCTTCCAGCGCTCTCCGAATTGACAGTAGTGAGCTGTTGCCTTCGACGACGTGGGCCAGCTCTCGACGCGCCCTAGGCGCGGCAGCAACCATGTACGCGAGGACTCGGGGTTCTCGATGGTGACTGGCAGCCTGCAGCGGTGCATCAGCTCCAGCATGCTGTCGGAGAAGGCGGCGAGCGAGTTGCCGATCCCCACCTGGGCGATGTCTGCGGGGTGCTTCAGCTCCGGCAGGCCCATGAGGCGCTCGCGGCTGCGCAAGCGCGAGGGCATGCTTGGCTTGGGACAGGCCGGGTCACGCAGGGGCCCTCGGTCGCAGGCGACCGTCCAGCTGCTGCAGGGCGTGCCCATGTGAGCCCCCACACTAAGCCAGCGCGGACCCATCCTCGCACGAGACGTTGGTTCGCCTTCGAGGTGAGGTCCCACTCCGGCCCGTTGAGGAGATCCCAGGACAGCGCCAGATGCCCCTCGGCCTTGACCGCGTCCGAGAGGCGGCCACAGCCACTGAACAGCTCTAGAAATACCTGCGGCTGAATGTGCCGTCTGCGCCACGGGGCCAGCAGGCTGCGCACGGCTTCGCGAGGAGACTGGCGAGCTGGCTCGGCGCCGCCAGTGCCGCTGCGAGCGCCTCTGGCCGCTGGCGTCCCAGCTGCTGCCCGACGCGCCCCTCCTTCTGATAGCGGCGGACGGACCGGTCGCTCTCCCGGCGGCCGCGCAGCTGCACCCCTGCCAAGGTGCGGAGCCCCAGCGCCACGTCGTGCGACGGCCCGGAGTGGCGGAGCTTGTAGAGCTCCACGCTGAGCTCCTGCAGCCCGCACTGCTGAGCGGCGGCCTCTCGGACCCTCCGCGCGGCCGTGGCCCGGCTGGACTCGAAAAGCAGCCCCGCGGGGCCGGCGCTCTGCTTCGGGAAGCGGAGCACGGGGGCCAAGAACAGGAACGGGTCCAGGTCGAGCGCCAGCGCCTCGTCGGCTTGATTCGTCCTGCTCCGCGCGCCCTCCTCGGCAGGGTGCAGGATCACGACCCATCTGCGGCGCCTCGACCCCGCAACGGGCGCCACCACCTGCCTCCCTGTCAGCTTGAGGCCCTCCGACGGCCGCAGGTGCAGGTGGATGGTCAGCACGTAGGCGGCGGTGGCCCACAACCCCTGCTTGATCAAGGTCGTCCCCAGGAGCGCGATCGCCTCCCACGGGGGCGGCAGCCTGGTGCCGCCTGGGGCGTGGCGCCGCCAGCCCCTCAGAGCTCGGCACGCCTGCGGCAAGCTCAGGCCGGCGTCCTTCGCGAAGACCGGGCGCCAGAACTTGACCGCCGCCATCATGGCGCTCCCGCAGTAGGCCTGCTCCCCGCTCAGGAACTCGCTGTCCATCCAGCTCGCCAGCAGGCCGTCGATCTCGTGGTCCATCGGCTCCCTGGGCGCGGCCGCCGTCTGCAGCCTCTTCCAGTGCTGGAGCAGGCGGTGGACGAGGTTGCGGTAGCGGGTGGCAATTGCCAAGCTCACCGACGCCTCCTGCAGCCGTGTGCGGCCCGCCGGCGGGAGCGCCTGGGCGGCCGCCTCGCGGCGCCGACGGACGGCCCGCTCCTGCTTGCTCCGCGCCTGCGCGCCGGCCCGCGCCAGCGTCTTCGGCCGCCGCGCCGCCGGCTGCACCCTCGGCGCGCGGGCGAGGGCCGGGCCGCGCCCGGCCCCCTGGGCCCGCCTGCCGCCAAGGCCGCCGGTAGCTGACCCAGCGGGCGGAGGCTCCCTCCCAGGCGGCGAGCTCCGCGAGCTCGCGAGCGGCGAGCCTGCCATCGGCGGCCCTGTCAGAGCTCCTGCCCGCGCGGACCGGCCAAGCCGCGGGCTGACCGTCGGCGCGATGGCGCTCGGAACCGTCGAAATGGAGGCGCAGCCCGATGGGTATCCGCTGGCGCGACGGAGAATCAGCGGGGTTCCGCTCTGAGGGAAGCCACCGGGCGCTGGCCACCACACCTCCCGCCAGGCAACAGGCGCGCCACGCGCATCATGCCTGAAGCGGAAGAGCGCCCCTTGCCCAGAGACAGAGTGGCCGTCATACTGTCGGTCAGCCAGAGGATACGACGTCCCACGGCACGAGAGTCTCGAAGGGCGTGGCGGAGCGCATGCACGAGTGAACGGCCCTCGAGGGTGGCGATGCCCTCGCTCCGCTCCCAGCCTCCACTCGACACCACTCTCCACTCCCCCCTCACCATGTCGATCGGCACGTCCTCGAATCGCTCGGACCCGACCTTCTCCCCGACGCCCTCCTCGAGCACCTCGCGTGGCCTCGCCGGGGTACCTCCCTCGAGCTGCCTGTACTTCCACCTCTCTTGCCGCCTCCCGACCTCCGCCACCTTCTCCGAGTCGAAGTCCCTCTCGACTACCCCGCGGCCCTCCTCCGACGCATCGCAGCAGTAGAGCCTCCCAAGCCACGGGGCACGGAGGTCGGCACTAATCAGAGGCAGGAGAGCGACAGCCCATCGGAGTTCTCGAACGACGGATGCTGGAAGACGACGCTGCTGGTTTCGGTGACGAGCACAGAAAGAGTAGACGGCATCAAACACTGACAAGGCTGGCCTACGCGCCAGGCCAGCAAAAGTGAAGTGGCCCACTACGCGCTCGACCTGCCGCCCGCCGGCGAACCCGACTCGAATGAGCTCGAGCGCACCCGGCCGCAGACGCCAGAGGCGTGCCATCTTCGGACGAAGCACGCCTCCACACCCGTCGAAGCGCCAGCCAAGCTGCTCGCACTCCTCCGCGGCCAGCTCGGGCTCGTGGAGCCTCAGGCCTCGGGCGGCCAGCCCCCGCTGAGCGGCCCGCAGCTGAGCGTCGGCCTGCTCAGCCGAGTCGCCGAACCCCAGGAAGTTGTCCACGTAGGCGGCGTGCAGCCCTTCACGCAGCGGCGGCAGCACTCGGCCGTCGGCGACCCTGAGCCTGGGGTCCAGCCCGCTCTTCTCCTCCAGCGCACTCTCGTGGATCTGCTGGCGCAGGGCCAGGGCGTGTGCCCAGCCCATGGGCAGCGCGGCCATCCGCGGCCGTGCCCATACCCCGCCGCCCTGCACCGCCACTCCGGCCTCACGTAGCCGCTGTCGCTGGACTCGAGGAAGATGGAAATACTTGCGCAACTCTGGCGGCAGTTCCATCTGATAAAAAGCGTCCTGGATGTCGACGGCCGAGACAAAAAGGTTGGCCCCGTCCCCCAGCTCGATGCTGCTGAGGGCTGCCCCCGTAGCGAGGGCCACACCGTCCGGCTCTGAAAAGTGAGAATTGCTTGCACGAGCGTCGATAATCAATCGTTGACGCCCATTCTTCTTCCCCACTGCGAAGAGGCCCACCTCCACCCCCTCCTCCTGATCGTCGGTGAAGTCGATCATACTGGTCGAGCTGAGACGCGACAGGAACTCTGCGTACTTGTCCGGCCTGCGCAGGAGGGGGTCCAGGTAGGCTCGCTTGAAACCGTCCTCCACCCGCCGTGCCTCGGCCACGTGCTTAGGCAAGACTTTGGACTCGAAAAACTGGCAGAGTCTCTGCTTCCCGCCCCGGCCCGACAGGTCCGCCAAGGGGCGCGGCTGCGCGCCGGCGGCTGGCAGGCTGAGCAGGTCCACGCTCAGCGGGGCGAGGCTGACGGGCTCGCAATCCCCGTGGGCGCCCGGGCCTCGGAGCTCCCGAAGGGCTGCCTGAAGCGCGAGGTCGCCCGGCGACCCCATGGCCGCGCAGGCGTGCGCGAAACGCTCCATGGCCAGCTGCTGCACGAGCGACGGCTTCCTGGCCGCTGGGGCGCGGGGGGCATCATCTCCGGCGTCCAGCTGGTTCAGCGCGGTCACCAGTTCGTGCATGAGCTGGTGCTGATGCCGCCTGGCTCCCTGACGGCGTCGGCTGGCTCGACCAACCTCCTCCAACAGCCCGGCGGCCTGGTCAAAATTCGGCGCCTCTGGCAGCGGCAGCGGCAGCAAGCCCCGCCACCTCTCCTCAGCAGCCTCCCCCTCTGAACGCTCCTCGGGGCGCGGGCCGGGGTCCGCCTGCGCCCCGTCGCGCCAGCTCACCCCTGCTTCTCGGGTTTGCCGCCCTTCGGACAGCTGCTGGCTTCCTCTCTGAGCTTGCGAGCGTTCTTCCGAATGGTGGCTACCCTCTCGATCTCGCGGCTGACCGTGTCGAGGAGGGCTGGGCACACCATCGACGAGCTGCGGCCGTGGCCCATGAAGGCCAGCGCCTCCTCCGTCGGGACTCGCATGTTCCCCTGCGAGGCCTCGGCCGCCCTCTCGTCGTGGTAGCGCTCCACCAGCTGCAACTTGCGGTGCGCCAGCTCGACCCCCGCCAGGTTGAACAGGTCCACCTGGTCGTGGGCCCCCAGCGCCACGACCTTCGACAAGGCCTCGCGGAGGTCGACCCCGTAGTCAGTCGCCTGGAGCCGCTTCCTGCTGCGCCAGTTCTCGTGATGCAGCGCGGCTCCACCATCGCGCTGCTGGTGCTCCACGCACCGCTTCACCGTGCGGGGCCCGGCGACGAAGAAGTCCGGCAGCGTCTCCTCGCGGCAGTCGGACACCAGGGGCCGCCACTCTCGGCTGCGCCCGACCGCCGTCGTCAGCACTGGCAGCACTCTGGCGTCCGAGCCGCGGTACTCCTGCCTGAACACGCTCTCCTCGCTGGCCCGCAGGAGCACGACCGCCAGGAAGCAGCCTCCCACGAGGCCTGCCACGCCGCGCCGGCCCCAGTGCCCCATGAGCACCGGCCCTCCAGCCGAGCCGATGGGCAGCTCGTCGCCGAACTTGACGGCCCCGTCGCCAGCCTCCTCGGCGGCCAGCCAGCGGTGCCCTGCCGGCGCCGCGCCCGACGCTGGGACCCCCGGGCCCGCGTCGTCGGGCACGGCGACCCTGCCCGCGGCCCCCGGCGCTGGCGCCTCCGCCGCCGGCGCAGCAGGGGCGGGGGCGGCTCCTGACGCAGCCGCGCTGGGCGCCAGGGCGGGGGCGTCCCCAGCGGCCGCCAAGCCGCCCCCGGGGCCTGGGGGCCCGGCCCCGATCGCCTCGAGCACGCCTCCTGGTGGGTCCACGGCCGGTCGCCCCGCCGCCAGCTCCCTCGAGTAGAAGTGCCGGCGGGCCTCCACCGTCGCCTCGGCGATCATCCCCGCCAGCACCGCCCCAGCTGGCTCCGCGGCGAAGCGGCGCACGCTGGCCCGCGGGACACCAGGCGGCGGCGGCCAGAACACGCTGGAGTATCGGATCGCCGCGACGTCGACGGTCTGCATGCTGTAGTCTTCGAGGTACACGTCGGCGTCGGGCGTCACGATCATGAACTCAGAGGTCCCCAACGACCCCGCGACCTGTCCCAGTAGGCGTCGCTGTTGCCACAGGTTCGGGTGCCCCGAGTAGAGCACGTACGCGTACGTCTCCGGCGCCGGCAGCGGCAGCGCCATCTCCGCGCCTGCCCAGGAGCAGCCCCGCCAGCGCCAGCAGGAGCCCGATCGTGAAGCAGCCGACGCCCGCGGCCGCCACCGCGGCGCTGCTCCAGCGCCCAGCCTCCCACTCCACCGCGGCCCGCGGCGGCGCGGGCGCCGGCGCCCCCGGGCAGGCCGGAATCGCCGGGCACTCGAAGGGCGGTATGGCTGGGCACTCGAAGAGCGGGCAGGCCGGGCACGGCGGGCAGGCTGGCCCTGGCTCGCAGCGGGCGGCGTTCAGCAGCCAGCTCGAGCCCGCCCACCGCCCCAGCTCAGCACCGAATCCCCTGGCAAGCGCGAGCGCTGCCAGGGTCCCAATCCCTGAGCCGGGACGGCTATAGTACGGAAAAGAAGTGCAAGCAATTCGATCGCGGCTGCTCTGTCTTCAAGCCATTCTGCATTTACACGCATGCTTCGACCATCTATATATATATATATATATATATATATATATATATATATATATATGCATGTTAAGTCCTCGCAATCGACGCAGGAACATTGTTCCCGGCATCGGGATCGATTTCTGCCCCTCGGAACTTCCTGAGACCCAGAATTCCCAGCGGAACTGCGGGATGAAGAACGCTCGGCGCCCATAGCCGTGCCTCATATACTACGGGTTGTGAGCAACGCAAACAGCTGATCACGCCCAGCCGACTGCGACGCGCTCTTGAGCAGACAAGGTAGCCCCCCAAGGCGGGGGCGAGAGCACCTTGTGTTTGAAACCGCTCGAAGCAAGCAGGTTGTCCGAGTCTCCCAACATGAGAAATTCTTGTGTGCGTAATATGATCGACGCAACCAGATTCCTGCAGTGGAATAATCCAGATACCGCCGAAACGCCGATCGAACACCACAGTCCACGACACCGTCGGGGCGAGTGCATCGGATACGGCAATCTACAACATCTGCAGCCAGAGAACCGTCGGGCATCACCCAAATCGTTGCATTGTCAAGGATACGCGGAGAGACGGTCGCCATGTAATGAGCCGACATCTTCGCCGGGTTCTCCACGTCGAATACCCGCGCATCCAAGTTGTCAGCTGACAGCGCTCTTGACCATCCACTCGGGCGTAGCCAACCTTATTTCGCTGCAGGGGGGTGAGTCGTCTGGCCATGCGAAGTCATTCAATTTTATTCAATTCGACGGGAGCTGTGGGCACGTACCTGTGCTTCTGTACTTCGTTAATCTAACTCATGTGGGCCCATCTGGTCAATCATTGATTGCAAGACGCTCGACTGAGTGAGAAGGAATACCTCGCCGTTGGGGCATCTCTTTCAGGCGGTTGATGACGAGGATATACGCGCCCAGGTTGCACCACCCCCACTACATGCATGCCCTTGCGAAGCACGGAAGACAATAGGCCGCGCAATGGGCGGCCCGAAGTCTGCTCTATATATCGCGCCTCCGTCACGAGGAACCGTCCGCCCACAGCTTCCCCTCCAAAAGCTTGGGCAGCCCGCGGCTGTTCGTTTTCTACCATTGTGACGCCCAGACTGTGGATCGACTTCTTCGACAGGGTACTAAGGGCGCGCATTGGCCTGCGCCGTGGACAATCAAAACTCTCTACCGCCAATATATCGACTACTCGTGCCGTCTCTATCCATCCGCCAGAGCTGAGAATGTCGGCAACGCTATGTTTCGCCACTTCAACCATCTAGGATCCAAGCCGGGCCGCCTGTTCTTTACTCGACCTGCTGAAACATGCCCACAGCCGGCCGTCAGCCGACGGGATTTATGGGCAGCAATTGCGCAGGCTCGTCGGAAGATCTCGGGTCTCAATTGAGCCATGGCGCGATCGAAAGAACGCATCTGCGCGCTTTCGTTTTTCCGCATCCATCTCCCGAAGCAAGTCCAGCGCTGCGTATCCCGAGAAGACGGCCTCTTCACCTCTGTCTAGGCGTGGCATCCTCCGCGGCTTGTCGTGGAAAAGACCAGGGCCGCGCGCTGCCTGAATGCTCCTCGCGAAGCCGGATTTAGCCAACAGGAGACCAGCTTCGTCCTCATCGAGCGACAGAATAAAGGGCGTCTCGGTTCCCCGGGAATACTTAACGCGTTGAAGATCCTCGTCGAGGGTAGCTCACTTCTCAAATAGCTTGGCACGAAGCAAAGTTCTCGTCATCTGTTCGCCCTTCGGCGGGCTCGGCGGCGCGGCCAAGCGAAGGCATCCTCTGCCAAACGCTTTGGGTAGCTCGTTATATATTCTTCGCAGGGAGCGGGATCAGGTCCGGCGGGGCGCAACCCAAGGGCGCCTCTAGCGACGGCCGCGGTGCGTGATCCACGTGCGCCGCGATGACGTCGTCACCGGGCTGGTGTGTCTCCTCGTTCTGTTCTTCTGTCATTTCCCATCCGTTTCTGCCCGCTGTGAGCTTTCGCCATTATCGCCCTCGGGCTGCTCCTCCTCGGATTTCAGGGAAGCGCCCATTCTGGGAGGACGCGAGCGATCTGCCTCGGCTAGCTCTCCTTCCAGTAATCCCTCTCGGCCTCCAGCCGTCTTCGTCGGACCTCCATCTCCCCCCCAATCTGCCTCGGGATCGCGCCCGGGCGCTGCGGGGGGCGGGCCAGGCGGCAAGTTGCCGCCTCCAAAGACAAGCCCGGAGGTCTTCCCGCCCTGCCCCGGCGGCGCAAGGACATCATCATCATCATATCCCTCTGATATGCTGCGCGGCTTCGCCACCCTCGTGGGACGGAGCTTGCGTTTTCCTGTTCCTCTTCGCCAGCTGATGCGGGGGCGGTGCCCTCTCGGCACGCCACCTCTCGCCAACCTTCAGTTCCTCATCCCTCATGCTAGGGTTTTCCTTGCAACGAAGTCGCATTTGCCCAGTGCGCTTGAGTAGGCTCTCCGTCGAGGCGCGCACATATCAGCATGGATCGCGGATGCCTTGCGGCGCACTTCGCATGCCGCCGCTGGCGGGGCGACCTGTCCATGCACCACGTTCGACGGCGCGACGCAGAAGCAACCCAAAATCGGACAAATGTTAATCTAGGTAGTATAAGACACGACTGCCGAAGCCACCTTCACAGCGCGCCAGAGCTTGCATTCCGCAGCCTTACGATTGCCAGCTCTTTCTGGGGCACCGGTTGAAAATTTGACGCGAACCGCTTCGAATCCTTAGGTTGATCCTTTATCATGGAACAAACTGGTTGTTCACTGTCCGCAGAAAGGCAAGGCGTGAATAACGACCATTCCAAGTGCGCCCCAGGAGCCCCTCCCGCCGCCACCAATCTCTCTGCGGCGATGCCTCCTCGTAGCAGAATGAACTTGCCCATCGCGAGGATATTGTCGCAGTAAGCTTCTTTCACGCCTTCGCTTATCCCCAAGCTTTTCGCGCATAGGTCCAGCGGGGACATGGTCCACGTCGCCCACCTGTTCATTATCTTTGTTTTCTGTGTCGACATCGGAGACAGGCGAAACAGCGGCAAGCTCTTCCCGAGTCTTTCGCAGCGCAGCATCAGCCTTCCGGCGATCGGTCAGGCTTCCCTGCGATCGCGGCGCCCATCTCGGATCAGCGTGAACTCCTGCTGAAACGCAACAGGCGAATCATGTTCAATACGTTAAAATCTTCGGTAACGGTCAATGTCCTCTGCGTTGGGGCACCCCGCGCACGCGGGGCAGAACGACGATGTTTCCATTTCTGGCGCCCAGAATGTGATCCCACTCCATCCTGGGGTATCGCGCAGGTCTTTCGTGGCATAGTCGATGATGTGCTGGGCCATCTGAACCCTGTCGCTCTTGATATTTGCTATCTGTGCGTCTTGGCGCTAGCTGCATAGCTGCGCGCGTGCACAATCAGTGTTTTCGTCCGTTTCGCCCCTATGTGGTGGTGAGCATTTGGTGCCCCAGGTGCCAAAAACCAAAACTCGTCTTCGAACATCGGGTCTCCCCCGCAGCCGACATATAGGCAGCTGGTGGTCGAGGTATTTCTATGCAGATTCCCCCCTAAAGGTCTATATTTGGTCCAGGGCCCGACAGGCCGTAGAAACCTTTCCCTGCTGCTTTGTATTCGGTAATTGCCCATCGTCTGGCATGGGTTCTCCCATTTTCCACCATCGGTTAGGGTGCGCACCTGGATTGGCTAAGTCCTTCAGCGCGCGCCTGGGCGTCGCCTCGCTAGATTCAAGGTCCAACGTCTGAACGCTATCAGGCCTTCGATGCGCAGGGCCATAATATGACACAACGCGCATCTGCGCCCCCTGCTCTTCCAATGAGGGGAAGCTGTTGCGTTTGTTCCTCCAATGTTTTTCCCACCGTCGCGTCTTTCTGTTCGAAATACCGTCCCGTCGCCAAATTCTGGGTCGCGCGGGCCAGTATCTGCTCAAAATTCGGCTCTCCGCGCTCTGGTGTCGGGAGGAAGTGCGTCTGCCGTGCGAAGCGACTTACTTCTCGTTGAGCCGGCTCACCCGCCAAGGCGCTCAGCTGGCTACGACGC